GTCTCAGGCGCCGCGATTCGCTGTGCAGAGTTGCGTCCCTTGGGCACGCCAGAAACCTATGATTGTGGGCTCGAATCCCGGTTCGCCCCAATTATGTTTCTAGGTTTGTCAGCACGATACCCGTGCTCGTGGGTTTCACTGAAGTGGTCGACGTCTTAAACATGCATCACTTCAGGCTTTCCTCTAACATTAAGCTGACACGCCGTGATATAACTTGAATAATGTTAAAAGCGGCGTTAAACCCAACTCACTTACTCACTCACTTGTGCACATTGTAAAGAGGAAACACCTGGTGTTATCAAGAATATACAGTGATCCATTCGCATAATTTTCACAGATATTTTGCCTTTGGAATCTGTTTCGGCAGATATTCCATACTGATTATTCTCAGGCGTTGCATTTTTATATTTATCTAATGAACATCTATTCCCTTCAGTGCGCTCTTTGAGCTTGCTTTTTTAGTGTTTGTAAGACCGTGTAAACATTGTTAATCAAATAGGAATTACTTAAGAGAATGTCAATTTATTTGTTTCGTGTCTCTTTCGGATCAGCAGCTTAGCTTGACATCAGAAAATGTTTGCCAAAGTAAATTCAAATTTTAATTTTCGAAATATGTATTCAGGATGTCCGGTGATCTGTATTAAGAGTTTTTTCTTAATAGGCATTTTAAAAATCCTAATAATTTAATTTAAATCCAATTAAATAACAATCGCTGTTTTCCATGCGGTAATCGCAGAACAAGACGAAATAAAAACTTTAATAATTGTTTTTGGAAAATCTCGCACAGTGTCAATATGCACATGAAATTATTATTAATTTAACTGTTATTTTTAAAAATAATTTTTGGTATTCTTACTTGTATGTAGATGTTTTACTTTAAACATAATAACTTTCGTATCAAGGCATCTCATTTCGTTCGCGGGACACAACGTTATATAAGTGCCTTGATTATGATTATCATCCTTGGCTTGTCAGCAGCCCAACTCGTGATCTTGAGTTTTACCAAAGAAGAAAACCTCTAGGCTTTGTTTCATCATGAATTTTACACTTTAGACAAAACTTCAATACTTTTTTTCAAAACTCAACCATTCTCATCGAATGTCGGTGTTCATCTAAATAGGCACGCACACTTTAAGCAGGTAATATGAAACCAAATGTTAGATTTCGTTAGCATAAGCGTCCAAAGCCTTGTTAAGCCACGTTAAGCCACACTTGTGTGCACATTGCAAACCATGATAGAAATTTGCCCTCATTTAAATTCTAATGTGATGGAAACATAATCATAAGAAGTCTCCGCCACTAGCTGAGATAATTCTTGAATCACATGTAGACTTAGGCATTTCCACATATTTGTGGTGATGAATGCAACTTTTGTGGCTGTATAAATATATAATTATATATTAACAGCCACAAAAAACCCTTTCCTTAATAATAAGAAATAATCACTGTTAAAAGCAGAGTCCATTGTACGATTCCGACTATATCAAAAGCATGTGTTTTTAAATCACTATCAAACAGGTGAGCACCCGTGAAGATCGGGGTTAGAATAGATCTCCACAGCCGATGCTTGCCATAAAAAGTGACTATGCTTGTCGTAAGAACCGATTAACGGGATCGGGTGGTCAGCCTCGCTGACTTGGTTGATGCATGTCATCGTATCCCAATTGCGTGGATCGATGCTCACGATGTCAATCACTGGATTGTCTGGTCCAGACTCGATTATTTACAGACCGCCGTCATATAGCTGGAATATTGCTGAGTGCGGCGTTAAAAAAACAAAGAAACAAACGAAAAGATGAGCGTATCCTGCCCCACCGGTGGCACCCGTCATAAACACGTGTAAGAGCAAGTCTGTTGTGTACCTGAACAAAACACGGGAACATATGTTACACGTCAAACCCTCTCCAGACATAACCTGCAGAGAAAACGTGTGAGACAAATTGCAATGTAAGATCCCATTAAGAGCTGAAGGTTTAGCAAGGACATGGCACTGTGATCTTCTTGACAATATCTCTGTCTGTGTCACACCAGCTCACTCAACACTATAGTTATGTGGTCTGGATCCGCCGTATTAACATGGATATCCGAAATGTCATTCTCTGCCAATGCTTCTATTTTTCAGCCGGATTCTAACACCAGATAATGCCACTTTCCGCAGTATTGATTTATGATATGACATTGTCTCGGAGCTTCGCGAACTTGGCCATGTTCACTCTCTCTAAAACGTGAACCAAACTATCCTTTTCAAAATAGTTATTTTCACTTTTTGGGATTCCTTTGGGAAACATATCATCATCCTCATTTTCTCGTTTTAAAAGATACATCCTGGGACAAACGTATGTAGAGTGCAACTGCTACCTTCAGAGAATGGCACAACATTAATGCGTTTAACCTCCTGTTTGCTTGGTTTGACGTCAAGAACATGGTACATGATTCGTGATGGTTAAACGGCAAAGAAACTCTTCGTTTAAGTGCATACGTTCCATTTAGGAACACGTACGAACATACATTTGTCAGGTGCTTTGACAAGCCTTGGTTTAATTAAACCATGCAAGAATGTGTCAGGTTGATTTTGTTTTAAATTCAAATTAGATACGAACAAAAGAAAATCCGCTCCTCGTGAAAAACAATTCTGTATTCACCCAAAATAGTATGTCCTTCTTGTTCCTTCAACTGTTGTGTGTTTGAACCTCTTTATTTATCGGATAAGGAAACGGACTTAGTCAAACCGTCATCTTAAGAGTCTACATGCTGGTGTTGCTAAGCTTAGCTTCAAGAACAGGTACACTTTTGTTTTTGTAAAAGCCTTTGAGTAACAGCTGGTTTTTTGGTATGCTTAAGGTAACATTTCAGTTCACTTACGAACAAACAGTTACCAGGTGCTATGCCAAACCTTGTTCTTCCGACAACACAATGGTGCCAACATGTGACAGGTTGCTAGTTGTAAGTTAGTTGTCACGGGCTTTTATTTTTAGACTTGTACTATATGTTCCCGTGTTTTTTTAGGTGAACACTTTACTTGCCTTTGCATGTGTTTGTGAGCAGGGCAGGATACGCTCATCTTTTCGTGAACATCTGGTTGCATCACAATTTGATAGTGATTCATAACCACATGCTCGTGACATAGTCGGAATCGTACAATTTACTCTGCTTTCAGCAGCGATTTCTTATGATTTGATTGGTTGGTTTGTTTTTTAATACCGCTCTCAGCAATATTCCAGGTATATGACGGCGGTGTGTAAATAATCGAGTCTGGACCAGACAATCCAGTGATTGACATAGTGAGCATCGATCCACGTAATTGGGATCGATGACATGCATCAACCAAGTCAGCAAACCTGACCACCCGATCCCGTTAGTCGCCTTTTACGGCAAGCATGGGTTGCTGGAGACCTATTCTACCCCGGATCTTCACGGGTCGGATTTCTTATGAATTTCGAAAGGGTTTCTGACATGACTTCCGTTAAAGTTTTTATTATTTGTCATTTGGGTTCATAATAGCCAGGGATAATTCTTACTGGCATCAACACAAATGCTATCCGGCATGTATGTTACTATGTTTTTCTGATATTGAGAGGGGCGGTCGGGTAGCCTAGTGGTTAAAGCGTTCGCTCGTCACGCCGAAGACCCGGGTTCGATTCCCGACATGGGTACAATGTGTGAAGCCCATTTCTGGTGTCCCCCGCCGTGATATTGCTGGAATATTGCTAAAAGCGGCGTAAAACCAAACTCACTCACTCAATCACTCTGATATTGAGATAAATAACTTTTAAATTATATTCATCCAAAAAATGGAAATAATACAACTTTACAAATTCCTCATTATTTTTAGGTATCAATTTTCTTTAAAGGCATAGGCATTTAAAAATCTCTCAGACATAAATACAAATAGCGATGGGCGATGATTCTGTGTAAAGTTTACACCAGGCTTCATCTTGCACTGAAATGTTTACAGAGTTTATTTATAATACTTATATGTACAAAGTGATCACAAGCATATCCACGGACGTTGTCGTTAGTCCTTGTTTAAACATATGTTTAAGTGAAGGAAATGCCATCCCTCTCATTAGTTCGTAGATAATACCTACTCTCAGGTGAACTGGATTGACAGGTTTGTTGTGATGTGTCTATATCTGCTAATATTTAACCACTAGATTTAACAAGACATTGTATTGATATATGCTGATGTAAATGATAAGGTTACACTTAGTTTCAGACGCCGTAAAATGATATGCTATCATGGGTCCCCAGCCCTGTCTACCAAATACGCATTTGAAACAACGCACACAAGCACATCTCAACTCTTGATTCTGACATTTGTTGAATTTGTATGTTTTAAATGTAGTGACGGTAAAGTTTATTTCCCTATGTTATCCCTTCGTTTCCATCAGTATATTTTCACACGAGTGCTGTGACTGTATTATTATGATAAGAATTGGTCTCATAGGCCTTACTGGCCGGACGGTGTGTTATATTTCTGTGATAATTGTTTAAATTCCAGAGTAACATATGTCGTGGACACATTAATAAAATATTTTTTTTTATCTCATCTGGTCATAACGGTTGTCCATCTCAGCTGACCACTACATGGTCAAAGCCAGAGCACATGAACTCAAAGCTTTAACTGAGTGTCTTCCTAATCGTTAAAATGACTAATGACTAGGATCGGCCATCTGTTTATGGTTCACGGTCAACAAGGAACATTCCTGAAAGTCCAGTTCACCCCGAGCCGGAGTGTACACAGTGTGCAAGGTACAAGCATGATTTAATCAATACACATTGTCAATGTAATAACGAGTCATCCCACTCCGCATTCTTAGAGCCGCGCACCATGAGGCTGTAGGTCTGTATCGTGCTGTAACGTACAGCGGAGGTTTTTTCACAATAGCCAAACATTTACTTTAGGAAATGCTGCGCAGTCTTTAAGTCTTTGAACGTTTGCTGAGTATTCTATTGCCTTATCCCGGCTGCTCTAAGTGTGTTTGAGATGTCGTAAGGCAGTTTGTCAGGCAGGACGCGCTGTACCCGGTGAGAGCCTTACATCGTGCGTGGCCATAAGGTTGTGGTCTGGGCGAGAAGAGCGAGGTAGGGAAACTCATAGAAATATCGCACATGCCGTTTTTTGAGACTGAGCACTGAACCTTAAAATATTTCCATGGTTGTATTTACATTGCATTTTGTCGTGTTTTATTGTGCAAATGTACTTTTTCATTTTAGGAGGTAATTCATAATACTTCATGTTATATTTGAGTTATAGCAAAATGTATTTTTTTCATTTCAAGAGGTAATTCATAATGTTATATTTGAGTAATGACATAATGTATTTAATAGAATGTTTCACAGAAAGCAGAAGAAATATATGCTCTATTTGATTAAACTTTTAAAAAATAGGATGGCTCGTGAATGGTCTCTTGTGAAATACTGGTTCAAATACACCTTAAACAACCAGCGACTAAATGAAATTTGAAAGAATTATTTGATAGTAATTCATAAACACGTGTACATGATATAGTCGGAATTGTATAACGGAACCTGCTTTAGCAGAGATTTCGTGTGATTATGGAAAGGGTATCGTATTCAGGTGACTCTTTAAAAGTATTACATCATTGTCTACATATCACTCGAAAAATGCTGATGCGACGCACATAACTCACTCGCTGACAAGGTCCGCCCCAGGTGGTTCAGTGGGCTGGGCGTCTTCCCAGAGAGCGGACATTTGGTGTTTGATACCCTGGCCGCGTCATACCAAACGACGATAAAAGATGGTAATTGTTGTTACCCCGCCAAGCGCTCGGCATTAAGGGCTGAAACAAGGACTGGTAGGCTCGGATTAAAAAACCCGATTTCATTTAGTGACATGTTTAGATATAATAGTAGTTTATTGTCGCTGGCAGTTTGGTATTTTTCTTTTCAAAAGACCGCCTCCGTGGTGTAGTGGATAGAGCATCCGCCCGAAGAGCAGAAGGTCGGTGGTTCGATCCTCTGGTCGTGTCATACCAAAAGACGCTAAAAGACAGTCCTTGTTGTTACCCTGCCTAGCGATCCGCTTTCAGGGGCTAAAACATGGACTGGTCGGCTCGGAGTCAGTATACTGTGTCTGAGTGGGGTATTCATGTTAAACTGCGGCATGGTATTTCAGTGGACTAGCACTATAAAACTGGCATGAGTTAGGACTATTACAAACAACACACACACACACACACGAGGATCGTTTCGCGCACTATTAACCACTGGTTTGTTTAGCCCAAGTCCGATCGTATTACCTGTAGCGAAATGCATATTTGCTGTAGTTCACCTTAATGTGATATATGGAAGATATGTTAATTTCTTGTCAACTGACATATGTATCTCATCGATTCACAAAATTACAGTAAACTACGGTTATAACGAACTAACGGATATAACAAACTAACTTTTTAGTCCCGACTATATGCTGTAGTTATGCTGTATATATGCTTATAACGAATTACGGTTATAACGAACTCAAATAAGTAGTCCCTTTGAGTTCGTTATAACCGTAGTTTACTGTAATGAGGTTGGAGATAACCATGTCATTTGGAAAGAAAGGAAAATTGTTAAATTCATTATATATTTTCTTACTGTTTTTCACGATCGTACCAGAACTAGGACATCAAATTGGAGTGGCTGACAAAGGGCTTTTTGTGTTGGTTGGTTGATCATAGCAGTAAACGACTAGAAACAAAATAATTGTGTCCGTGTGAGATTGGAACTCCAAACTAGCGTATTCACAGACCATTACCCCAAACTAGCGTATTCACAGACCATTACCTCAAACTAGCGTATTCACAGACCATTACACCAAACTAGCGTATTCACAGACCATTACACCAAACTAGCGTATTCACAGAACATTACCCCAAACTAGCGTATTCACAGACCATTACCCCAAACTAGCGTATTCACATACCATAACACCAAACTAGCGTAATCACAGACCATTACCTCAAACTAGCGTATTCACAGACCATTATACCAAACTAGCGTATTCACAGACCATTACACCAAACTAGCGTATTCACAGAACATTACCCCAAACTAGCGTATTCACAGAACATTACCCCAAACTAGCGTATTCACAGACTATTACACCAAACTAGTGTATTCACAGACCATTACTCCAAACTAGTGTATTCACAGACCATTACCCATTCTATCACTGCAGTCATCCCCAGTATCTTGGAGAAAATTACCCTTGGATAGGTCTTCATATAATACTTTGCTGTCATCAAGATATATACAGCTGTAGAAGCTATGTGTGTTTTCTTGTCATGTTTACCTCATCGAATGAACTGACAAAGGTCATATTTTCACGAGTGGCACAGCCAGGAGTAAACATGTATACTTTTTCGGGTCACGAGACAAGTGTTTCATTATTCCTTTTTCCCTTACAGGTGTTCACGACCTTACTCTGAAAACCGTAGGGTTATTCATGCCGTAGTTCGGGCATGAAGTTTTATTTCACTCGAATGAAATATCGATTTAAAAAAAAAAAATTACATTTGTTTCCAAACAAATGTTTATAAATACTAACTGTGTTTCTGTGGTATTATTAATGCACACCACGATACAACAAAGCATGCTGGTATTTGATTTGCTTATAAATATGTCAGACAAACAGAAACTATCACACTAAGGTGATTGCAATCCAGACATACAAGACAATCCGTCAGTCAAGATCGACTTGTAATTACATTGAAAACAACAATCTTAATGTGATGTAGTGAAGGAATAGTCACTACACACACTCTTCATATGAGACACGTACTGACCAATCCTATTGTATTAAAGGTGTGCCCTGCACGGAACTATCTCGACCATACAAACGGCTCTGTTTCATTAGTAGATGGACAATCATGTACATATAGTTGACACATTAACACACATCTCCATCCTCCAAGCTAATTCCTTTAGATCAAAGGAACACTTCATTATAGAAAGTCAGGAGATGTACAAACCTTAAACAAAATGTATGAATGTAATAGAGCGTTTGTCAGTACGCCAATGGACATAAGAACAATGCTCTAGCTGGGACAAGTACTTGTACCAGTAATGCCTTTGAAGAAGTCTAGGTACACAAACAAATCTGATTGTGGCTGCAAAAGATGTAATGTCCATCCGTTCAGCAAAGTCCTCAATTGTCCTGACTTTTTCCTGGTCCCTGTGAGAAGGTGGCTGGAGGTAAGCATTTTAATCCCAAGCTGGCTATTGCCATCGACTCTGCGGCTTAAAGAACATATGCCCATCCTACATCTTTATTGGCGTCTGAGCAGCGTCCGAGAAGCAAACAAGAAATGCACTTGACTTACATTACTGATGAGCCTCAGTGTTGGTTCGTAGACTTGTTGTGTTATCCTTAAATACCCAGTAACTCAGTAACCTCAACTGAACTTGAGTTGACCTCAAGATGAGACAGTCATACCAATGAGTCCATAGGGCAGTAGAGTTGATGGTGTCTGTGAGAGGTCATTTTCTGTGAAGTCTTACTGGGTCTCACGCTGGCTGTTGTCATTCCTTACTTAACTATACAAGGTATTTGAATGCCAACATTTTCTAATATGTTCTCAGCATCACAGTCAATTCAAGGTTTTACAAGAGGGCAAATTTCCTGTGAAACTTGTATTTACTACTTGGATGAAAGTACTATCGACAGTTCATGTTAATAAACTATAAATTAATTTGTAGAAATACATTTTGTTCAATAATCACTGGCATCCCTGCTCGATATTGACAAATACATGTTTTGGAAGTGTTTGAAGTGTATTGGAAGCCAACTCTTCAAGTATTAGGCTAGCACACCACCCCAAGCTCAACGGTTAGACCATCAGGAGTCTCTTACAATGATACAATCAAATTAGTATTAGTAGTGTTCAGCTGATCAGGTCCGGTAGGGGATCAGTCCAACAATTCTTCAACAACAATTGATGCCAATTAACATTAGATCACCAAAGAGTGAAATGTCATACGTAGACTTATATACGTACCTCGTGAAATGCTATGGTCACATCCTTGCGGGTAGTTCAGCTGACCAAGACCAGTTGTTCGTCATCCCAAGAACACTGTCAGCAGGCGATGTAACATTCCTAAGACAAGGATGCGGTGGACCAAATCTGCCCTGGAACCCTAACAAGGACAGACCAACCTAAGTCAACCATCTACTACGATCCTTCAAAGTAAAACGTATAGAAACAGCTGCATAACAGCACACTGCTATGCACTTCATATGAGATCATGACGTTTCGTTTTTCATTTGGTTGTGACATTAACCTTGGCATCTGCGAGTCTGATACTTATTTTAAACGAAGAAATCCCATTTTGTCATGTATTTGTTCGGCAGATCAGACAAATACCTGCATGAAGAACAAGATTATTTTGCCTTGAGAAATAAGCACTGTGCACTTTCATTCCTTTTTCTGGAATATAGTGTTTTAGGGAAATGATCACACTTGAAGGCCATGTGCAAATGTTGGGATCATATTTGTGAGTGGAGGTGCAAACAAAAGCCAAACAGATTCAACAGGCATATGGCCTGGATTGGTTTATAATCGGAAAGGACATTTCAAAGTATTTATAGAACCAAAGAAATATCTGTTGGTGCAAACACTGGAGGTCATTTTGTATGGCTGAGAAAAGTTAACTTAAACCCTTTACCCTGTCTAACCCCTATATAGAAAGTAGATCACACTTGGCTCATAAAATGATAAAATAGAACTCATTTACAAGGTCAAAGAGCTTCTATCGATTTACATAAATTGGACACTGTAAACCAGACTGTATTTACATACAGGGGACACTGTGTATACCGGACAATGTCGGCGTCTATCACAGCACCTTCATCCATCACCTTTCTGTTTTTTCGGATTTTCTAAGATGTAAACCATCTATGAGATGCTTAAAATCGGCAATATAATTCTGAAGCATATTTTTTTTAAATCTGTCAATGTTGAAACGTACAGGAGTGGATTCGTACTTCGTTCTCGTACAAACCACTCACGGCACTAGTTGCCATTGTGACAATTACTATACTAATTAACTGCAATTATGAAGGACATGTTTCTATACCAGAT